GAAAAATCAGAATGAAATCTCTTTTGCCAACAGCGCAAAGGAAAGGTTCCTTCTGAACACAGGCATATTCTGAATGATAATAACCTCGCTTTAGATAAAGCAGGTTTTAGCATTGAAGGTGGCACATGTGCTACTACAGAATATCTGATGCTTGCTGCAGATCCTGCATAATAACCATTACACACCTCATTAGTTCACAGAATGTTTTGATATTTGTAACACTAAATAACAGACTATTTAAAACACATTTTAAGGTAAGACAGAGTATATTAAAATAATGAAAGAAAAATATTCTTAAATTAGTTTTAATTCTTTCTTCATGTTGAGTCTGACTAGGTAACATCTTATCAAATTTCAGACCAAGTCCCCAAGCACACAGGCAGCTTTTTAGTGTAGCGTCTATCATTATTTATGACAGCCTAGGGTTTAAAATAGGCAGCTTTTTAGCGTAGCGTCGTATCATTATTTATGACAGCCTAGGGTTTAAAATTACCAAATCCACTGGAAATTTAATAAAAACAAAATATGGAAAAGTATTGATATAAAAATATAGTAGTATGCTCTACACAAAATTTTACGTTACTATAAAGATTATGAATCAAGCACTACAAGTTAAACAAATGCCAGAACTAAATCTTCCTTTTAATTCTCAATTCACCCCATCTTGTATGTGCATTATGACAGACTGATTCCACGATGACACAGTATTTTTTCCAAGCAACACTGTCTCGCTGTTTGTATCCACAACGAATAGGATGGCAACACTCAGAGAATGAAACAGGGCTATGCTTAATGAGGCTTCTATCTGCAGAACCTGGTTTCACTTGTTGCAGACACCAGATTTACACGGGAAAAGACAACTTAGTGATTGAGGCTCCTGAATGTCACCTTAGGGAATTAAATTACCCCTGCCCCACAGCTTCTGCTCGATTCTAGACAATCAGCTATTCCACATGTACTAAGCTGGTAACTATTCCTCAATTTCTCTCCAGACAGACAGAGTCTGAAACAGCAAGGATCTTATACCAAAGAACTCCACCTCAATCAGTGTCAAAGAGATGAAAATTCCAGCACCTGTCCCTCCAGGTCATCAAAATGAAACCGGGCATCCAATTTTTAGCATCAGTACCTATAAAACCCATAAGATTAGAATATCAGTATAAGGATATGAAAAAACACACTTATTTTCTTTTTTAATGTAGCTAGACTTACCATCTGTGAGAAAACAAACAACGCTGAAATAAATCTGGGTTTTAACTGCAACTGAAAGAGGGGACGCAAGAAATAGGTTTTGAACAACATGGATAACAAAGTGTATCATAGCTGTTCATTTGGTAAACAAGGTATATATGCTGTGTTCCAAATGCTGTGCAAAATACTATAACTTATTTTCTTAAGTGTTTGTACAAAAAAAAAAAAAAAAAATGCACAAAAATCACCTTAGAAGAATATTAAAAGTGAAAACTCTACAGTTTATGTAAGAAGCCAGAAAACAAATTCCACGCTGAGAACTTGCAACATATGCCACCACACAGGACACATTAGAAGAAATCGCCGCTTGGACTAGCACTCCAAACAACTAACAATTGTAATAGCCGAATCTGTTATCCTGGAGGGGTTGCCTTTGGAGATACAGCCACCAAACTTTCAAAACTCTGAACATAAAAGCATTTTCAAAAACTCCTAATTGATTATTATCAGGTTTTCAAGAACGGTGATTCAACAAGAGACACCCATCAACCCAGTCTAAAGTGCTAGCTTGGGGGGGGAGGGGGGGGTGGTGTTGTGATTCTGTTTTTAAAGAAACATGGGAAGAAGAGGCCAGTGGAACAAGAAAGTTTTCTTCCTTAATCTTATTTTAGGAAATACGTGAGCAATTTTTGCAGAAGTTTCCTAGAGAAAGATAGTGTGTGGAGTGTGAGACAGACAAAGCCTGGAAAATTCCAGGCCAAATGGTTAAAGCTCATAGTTAGCGGGGGCTGAAAACCGAACCTTCCACTTTAAAGTGACTTGACTCCCTTCAACACATACAATGAAAAACAGGGAGATGGTAACTTACACATTCTCACATGTATCTTCTCGGGTATAGCAACCACTTCCACAGTCACAACTGCAACTTCACATGAACAACACTGATTTCTAGTTGGTAGGAAAAAAAGCAGAAGTATCATTCAGACAAATACAGTTTTCATGCATATAATATTGGGGACAGAGGACAGACCAATCACTTGAAACTACAAAAACCTCCAATGGAATACACTGAATTATTCCAATACCTTCTCAAGGTATCCATGAGGCATCAGGCAGTTTTTCTTCATCAGCAGTCCATAAACCTGAAATTGTGATTTCTCTTCGCACCATCAGATTTTCACTTTTTTTTTTTTCATCTCTCTTTCATTTCACCAATTTCTTACTCCAAAATTTCACCCACTACCTACAAGTCTGTGTCCAATTTAAATAATTCAGGAACTTCTACAAATTTTAGCTAGCTCTTCTAAATCATCTGCAGGCAGGTTAGACCTGCACTTTTAGTGGCTTGGGGCATACAGTCAAGGGCCATTTTGCTTTCCTTTTTCCTTGTCTCACTGGCACTTCCCTAAACAAACCTTTAGTCCACATGGGTTACTACTACTTACTGTGTAGTTCTTTCTAATATCCAGCAGGAAAGCCACGCCCCGATTTCTATGCGTTTTACCATACCCTTAACCTCCGTTATTCAAAGAAAAATAAATTTGAACTCCATATTAAATTAGGAAAAGGTCTAGTTCTGTTCCATTTAGAACCATTTTTGAATGACTGCTAAGCTGTGGAAAGAACGTAGAAAATTCCAATAATTTCCCCCTCAGATCTTCTGAAATTATTCCTAGCAACGTTCTGAATATTAAACATTTAGCATATTTCATATTCACTTTGGAAAATTTTCACCCTTATTCGCTTTTCAGCATGTCAACAATTTTTCTCTTGTCCATGTCATTGCCTTGATTCAAATTGCTGTCTTCTGTTCTTTAATGCTCTACTTTTCAAACAGTTTGAGACTTTCAGTACTGCTACTCTTACATTCACATGCAAAGTTGAAGAAAAATACAGATTAAGGAAGCCAACAAACTATCTTCAGATTACCTAAAATGCTTTTAAGTATTTTGCTATAATACTATTTTTACCAGGCTTTCCTTATAATGTGTAAGTTAGAACAGTGGAAAAAAAACCAACCCAACCAAAAAAAAAAAAAAAAAGAAAAAAAAACCAACAGAAAAAGGACTTTCTAAAATCTTTACTTTGACCAAAAATTGTATTATATATGTGTCATACTGGATTTCCAGCAATCACAAAACGTCTATGAAGTTAACAATATGCAATTTATAGATTTTTTTAACGAAAATCATATATAAAAAGACAGAGATTTAAAATTATGAGGTTGTACAAACATTTTAATTTAAGGAAATTTGTTAGCTTTCCCCTTGGAAGCTAAAGGTATGCGATAGAGCCCTGATTTCTAAAATAGTGCATTCAGATTATCTGACGCAAAAAGAAACTGAGGGAAGAAACCAAGCTGAAAACATGCCAGTAAGTCATTCCTTCTCCAAATTCACTCTCACAATGTTTCCTTAAATAAGTTCTCCAAAAGCCTGACTGGATAATAGAAGGCATATCTTTATGATTTTGTGAATAATGGGTTTTATTAGTATTAAGTTAAAGCAAACAGCCAGAACAATACATATGCAACTTCTACTACACACAATATAAAGAATGTAAATTATAACCTCTGTAAAACAAAAGAAAAGGTACTGAAAAAGCCAACACAGTGGTTATAGACTATTCCATCCCTGGTAACAGGCTGGGTTCTGTGTTTAGAGAACAGTTGTTGTTTGCTTATTTAAACTGAAATAGGGTGAAATACATAATCAAGTATAAAGAAAAAGTTAATGGAGTTACATGGATTCTATGAGAACAAACTCTAGATTAGTAAGAAAAAAAAAGATAGTTCAGCTAGTAAAAGAGATTACAAGTGGGCTCAGGTTTCAATTTTTAGTGGTGAGGGACAACGGGAGAAATTACCCACGATTTTTGTAACAACTCATTTAATAATACACCACTTTCATAACAGAAGTGTTTTACACTTGCACAATGTTAATAACTTTATTATACATGGAAGCCTGTAATAGGCTGATTACACAATAAGACTGCAAACAACCACTGGTACTTTCCTGACACCAGAAAAGTACGTAAGACTGAAACATCACCAAGAGTACATAAAAAACCATCAGCATAAACATCACCAAAATTACATTAAAAAACTAATCAAAAAATACATTTGCAAAAAGTGGTTTAGAGCAGTGCCGCTGCCTTTCAGCAGCTTTGAATGGCCACCAGTATTTCTAGCAGGTTTCCGTGGCTCCACAGGCATTAATCAGGATTCACATATAATAAATAATGTACCACAAAATATACATAAAGTAAGGCAATAATTCCAAAGAAAAGTTCTGTTGATATTAACAAGCCACTCAAGTTCTACTTTTGTAGTTGATGTCATCACCAGAAGCCTTTGATGGAATTGCAGCCTTAGGCCCTAAAAGCCTGCCATGATGAACTGCTGCAAACCCCTACATCCGTAAAGAGCTCCAGTGACACCACTGGTACGCTGCTGGGCACAGGGGTCCATGTTAGCTGATCCTGATGCAGGATAGGGGCCTCAGTATGTACAATTGGGAGTATATTATTTCTTATCATACATGGAAACCTTGACGTTATTCTGAAACACGTGGGTGTTTATTGTTCATCATCTGATACCATAAGACAGCAGAAAGTACATAATAAGATACGCGCTTTCTGGAATGTAAATCTTTTTAAATACTATATTAGGTTGGGGTGAGAGAGTGAGTAGCGAAGAAGGGGAAGAAAAGGTGTAAATTAAAAGTGGGGACAAAACCCAAGATCAAGGCCGGAGGAACCGGGAGCACAACAAAAGAGGGAAACTTACACACTAAAAGAATGTGGAAAAGGGGAAGGGCAAGAGATTGACTTTTTTTGAACCATGTATAATAAATAACGTATCCCAAAAGCCTATTCAGATTATGACTGTAGTTTCAAGTTGGGGTTCTAATGACATGAACCAGACACACACGTTTTGCTCTCACGGTTTGTGTCAACAGAATCTCTTTACGGAATTACAGTCTTACACAGGAGTTCTGGGGACATTATTGTTTATATTAAAGCTACCATTCTGGGCTCTTCGTACAGACCCAAGAATATTTGCTCCACCTGCCTGGAATGAGCATCACCTGGAAGAACAGGAGTACTTTAAAAAAATGAGATTTAGGTAGCAAAATTCTTTCAGATCTGCCCAGACACAAGAGACAGTAATTTGAAATGTCATAGATCCCTTCCTCAAAAAGCTGAGATATATTTGTCACTATCTGTAAATTGGAAGTTCCAATACACTAGTGGTGCATAGAATTCCCATGCTTCGTTACACTTTCCTGAGAGTAAAAGCAATTAGAATAAACCTTAGTCCTAGGAACAAAGTTAATTTTTTGCATTTTAAACTTTTGGGCTATTCCCTGACAATCTATATAATGTAAATTTGATTGCTAAACATTGTCACTTGAACAAAACCACTATTTTAATCTATTGATTTTTGATTAAAAACCATAACAAACAGATCTAAAAAAATCACACTAATAAAATAAACTAAATATGAAAAGTTGCATTGAAAGGGCATGTTACATTATTCTTAATAGGACCGTGTAGAAACATTCCAATGGCAGTGTTGTCAAAATAAAACAAAATTACATTAAGAAGACCCCACAGCCTGGTCACAGTCGGGACCTTACCTGTAAGTCTGGCTAGTTGGGGTTTTTACTCGTGTACTACATGGCTCACTTACATCAGACATCATATTTGTATACCCTGAGAAATCTGACACTGAAGTCCTTACTCTATGGTCCACTTCTCCATTAGAGTTAGTGATAAAAGTCATTGGCACCCTGCTGCCCGACTTAAACTGAGAACCAAACGCTTGTGCAAAGTTCTCGATCTGGTAGGTTGCTCTAGGCTCTATGTCCTTCTGAGGATCTATCTGGCTAGTTAACTCCTGAGATGGGATCTGAAAGCTTGTTGAGGATTCTAAGTTTTTCTGTTCCTTCTGGCCAGTCAGTTTCTGAGATGTCGACTGGTAGTTAGACGAAGTCTCTAAGTTCTTCTGCGGATCAATGAGATCATCCAGCTCTTGAGAAGGAGTCAACTGTTGATGCGTAGCCTCCAAAGCAGACAAATAAAAGCCTGGTTGAGATCCAAGCAACATCCCAAACGGAGGTTTTGGCAACGCAGTTGGCAATACTGAGGTAACGGATTGGCTGAAGCCACACTCAAGTGGAGATGTAGTGTATATCTGTTTGTCTTGAAACAGAGTGTGGTTATGGAGAGTTGAAGACAGGCTAACAAATTGGAAACTGGGTCCAAAAGCAAAACCAGTGCTATTGGTTGTTCTTTCAAAGGCTTGTTGGAGGTATTTGGAGTATTCTTGCAACATGCTTGCCTTATCATTTGAAACTGTTTGAGAGTTAGGGCTCAAGTTTTCTTCCTGAACCATCTCTGAATGTTCTCCTGAGGTGTGCAAGTCCACACGCTGTTCAGTTATACTGAAAGGATCTTCTTTCTGGCCTTCTGATTTGTGAGAGTACTGGTCCAAAAGGCTCTGTAAGACTTCATCAGGAATACCAGACTTGTCATGGCAAGACTTTATTTCACTATTTAAAGATGCTGAATCAATGAGAGATAATGGAGCTTCGTTGTCCATAACACTAACACCTGCAGACTGGATGACGGACTGCTGGGAAGTCATGTGTCCGACATTAATCGAAAAGGCACTGTTACTGCTTGCAGTTTGCAAGTATCTTCTTTTCTTTGAAAACTGCATGGCATCATCATAATTGCTACTTATTTGACCTGGTTTACCACCTGTACTTTGGAGAAGGCCAATAGTTTCTACACTGGTATTGGCTACTAGGCCTAGAGAACCACTCTGTTTCCCAGACAGCGGTTTTTGCCCCAAAATATCGGGTAGTGGTGATACAAAATTAAGGTAAGTTTTGTCTGCCTGTTTTCTGCTTCCTTTTTTCAAGATCAATTTTGGCACCTTTTTCTGAAGTTCTTCTATGCCCATGCCAATTAGACCACCACTGGAAGACACGATAGGAATATCAACTGCATAATTTGGCATGGCCACATTACTTGTAACTTGAGATTCAGTTACTTTGCTGCTACACTTATTTCCTTTGTTTTCAGTGGATGTACTTTTTGTTTTACTTTTTCTCCTTGAGGAACTTGTATTTCCCTGAGACAATGCAGCCAAGCTACCGATGTTATGCGACGATCCGGGCTCCATTCCAGCCCCTGCTTTACCTATGGCTTCACCACATGTTCTTCTGTGCTTCAACAGTCTATCAGTCCTTGAAAAATACTGCTGACAAGTGTCACATTTGTATGGCTTTTCTCCGCTATGCGTCCTCTTGTGTCTTTCCATGTGGTACTTCTGGATGAACTTCATACTACACTGGTCACACCCAAAAGGCTTCTCCCTACTGTGGATCTTCTCGTGTCTCTGCAGTAAGTACTTCTGGATGAAACCCATGCTGCACTGGCTGCACTGGAAAGGCCTCTCCCCCGTGTGAATGAGCACATGCCTGCGCAAGTGATAGGAGCTCCTGAAGGCAGCGCTGCAGTGTTCGCAGACGTGAGGTTTCTGACTGGGGGACGCAATGGCACCTTCCGCATCTCCCACCAGGGGGGGTTTGGATGAAGCGCTTGGCTTCCGCTTGGCTTTGATTCCCTGAGTTTCTGGCTTTGGCCTCTTTGCCTTCTTGACCTGGGCATCGTGCTTTGGCTCACCCGAGCTCCCAGGGGCACCCTCGCCTCTGCCACTCAGTAACAGGTCTCGGTGGGGATGCTGGTGCAGGTGGTGAAGAAGGGTGAGGTCCTGAATCACGCTCTGGCCAGTTCCTTCGCCTCCGCTGCTCCCCAGGCCAGGGGGTCTCTCCTCCCCCGCTCCTCCGAAGAGCCCCCCGTAGTGGTGGTGGTGCTGCGGCTGCTGCTCCTCCTCCTCCTGCTCGCTGAGCTTCTCTTGCTTGATGCTCACTAGGGACTGCAGAAAGCCCCAGGGGCTCCTCTGCGAGGAGGAGGGAGCGGAGGGGAAAGCCCCCGCC